AAGTTTTCTCCAAATTCAAGCTGTGGAAAGCTGAGATGGAGAATCAAACTAGCAGAAAGATCAAGTATTTGAGGTCTGATAATGACACAGAATACACAGATTCGTAGTTTCAGAAATTTTGTGAAGAACATGAGATTCAGAGGCATTTTTTCAATGCACAAGTACCACAGCAGAATGATGTTGCAGAAAGGTTGACATGTCCTTAACTGAAAGAGCAAGAAGATGCTTGAGACTGAATGCAAAGCTTCCTAAAAGTTTTTGGGCAGAGACTGTGAATATGACATGTTATCTCATCAATAGATCACCTCAAACATCATTCGGTGGCAAGGTTGCAAGCTTGATTTTGTAAGTTTTGTGTTCTTGGAAAATAGATTAGAGTCAGTTTAATTACTAAAAAGTAAATGAAAGATCAAAACTTGATCCAAAATCCAAGGAGTACATCTTTCTAGGCTAAAAGAAAGGTGTGAAAGGATACAAATTTTGGGATTCGATTGCAAAGAAGATGGTGATAAGTAGAGATGCAGTTTTTGATGAGTAGTCCATGTTGCAACAAATCAATACAAGGTGCAAGGGAGCAGTTCTAGTTCAGATACAATGTAGATGGATCTAGAACAACATCCGCTAGTAACTGAGATAGTTAAAAGTTCAGAACCAACACCTGGTGATTCCAATATAGATGATTTAAAAAATTATACTCTTGCCAGAGATAAACAGAGACACACCAATATAAGACCTCCTAGCAGATTGAGTTATGCAAATTTGGTCTCTTATGCACTTCTCACAACAACGAAGATCCAACCACTTTTCAAGGAGCTATCACCAGTCAGGAGAAAGAGAAATGAATGGGTGCAATGGTTGAGGAGATGAAGTCTTTGCAGAAAAATCACAATTGGGAGCTAGTTCAGTTTCCTTTGGGAAAGAAGGCTATTGGGTGCAAGTGGGTGTACAAAAGGAAACCATCAGTATCAGAAAAATAAGTGGAAAAGTTCAAGGCTCAACTGGAACCAAATGAATTTTCACAGCAGAAGAGGATAAATTATGTTGAAATATTTTCTCCTGTGGTCAGACATACTTCAATAAGGGCGGTGCTTATATTAGTAGTCACTTGGGATTTGCATTTGGTGCAGATGGATGTTAAAATTGAATTTTTGCATGGTGATATGGAGGATCAGATTTACATGGAGCAGCCGGGAGGGTTCACTCAACCTTGACAGGAGTATTTGGTTTACAGATTAAAGAAATTGTTGTATAGGTTGAAACATTCTCCAAGACATTGGTACATGCGGTTCGACTCCTACATGATTTAGATTGGTTATAAGAGATGTGAGTGTGATTGTCGCGTCTATGTCAAGGGCCTTGATTATGGTTCTATTATTTTTTCGTTGTTGTATGTTGACAATATACTAATTGCTGCAAATATTATGCATGATTTACGTGGTTTGAAAGCTTTATTGAGCCAGAAATTTGACATGAAAGACTTGGGTCCTACGAAGAAGATTCTTACAATGGAGATTCATCGAGATAGATGCTCAAGTCGACTATGTTTATCTCAACGAGGCTATGTTGAGAAAGTG